AATACAACGTGCCCACACATCATTTGTTCATCGATTTCAAATCCGCATACGACAAAATCGATCGAGATCAGCTATGGCAGATTATGCACGAGTACGGACTTCCGGATAAACTGACGCGATTGGTCAAGGCGACGATGGATCGAGTGATGTGCGTTGTTCGAGTATCGGGGACACTCTCGAGCTACAAAATGGTGAGTTGACAACCTGGAAGGAGCGGAATACCTAGCCCTGGTCCTCACAAGTTCCTACTTCACGCCTCCTCGAGTCATATGATAACAAAAGACTACCAGCTGAAACATGGACACAGCTGGTTGGCGTAGCCTGGGCAATGTTGCCAGTCCGGCAATAGCAAAGTGAAGAGGTGCGACGCGAACACTGGCGCGGTAACCATAGTACGGTGATAGAGGAAATCCTTCACCAAACCTGAGCGTCTGCTCACCATGGAGGTGCGGCTCAAAACGGCGTCTGTTCTCCATGTTAGGAGCGGCTGATCACCGTCCTAGTGCCAGCGTGGGACTCTAAACAGAGCTGTGCACGATGGTCCCCCGGCGAGACAGGGGGTTGGGGCAGGCCCAACAAGCCGCCCTGGAAAAAAACAAAGTTGCAAATACCGAAGAAAGAAATACGGATCGGAACAATCGGCACAGACCTACGCGACGAAATAAGGACTACGATTGGAAACTCGGAACATGGAACTGCAAATCGCTCGGCTTCCCGGGTTGCGATAGGTTAATCTATGACGAACTTCAACCACGCAACTTCGAAGTCGTAGCACTGCAGGAACTTTGCTGGACGGGACAAAAGGTATGGAAAAGCGGGCATCGAGCGGCTACTTTCTACCAGAGCTGTGGCACCACCAACGAGCTGGGAACCGGCTTTGTAGTGCTGGGTAAGATGCGCCAACGCGTGATTGGTTGGCAGCCGATCAACGCGAGGATGTGCAAGTTGAGGATTAAGGGCCGTTTCTTCAACTACAGCATCATCAACGTGCACTGCCCACACGAAGGGAGACCCGACGACGAGAAAGAAGCGTTCTATGCGCAGCTGGAGCAGGTGTACGACGGCTGTTCGCAACGGGACGTCAAAATCGTCATCGGCGACATGAACGCTCAGGTAGGACGGGAGGCAATGTATAGACCGGCAATCGGGCCAAACAGCCTGCATGCCGTATCGAACGACAACGGCCAACGATGCGTGAACTTTGCAGCCTCCTGGGGTATGGTAGTTCGAAGTACCTTTTTCCCCCGCAAGGATATCCACAAAGCAACCTGGAGATCACCTGACCAACACACAGAAAACCAAATCGATCACGTTCTAATCGACGGGAAATTCTTCTCCGACATTATCAACGTCCGCACGTACCGCAGTGCGAACATAGATTCGGACCACTACCTAGTTGCAGTATGCATGCGCTCAAAACTCTCGACGGTGCATAACACACGTCGAAGTCGAACGCCACGACCCAACATTGAGCAACTACGGGACACCGGAGTTGCCCAGGACTACGCGCAGCAGCTGGAAGTTGCACTACCCACGGAAGAGCAGCTTGGCGCAGCTTCTCTTGAAGATGGCTGGAGGGACATCCGTTCAGCCATAGGTAGTACTGCTGTAGCGGCACTAGGTACTGCAATCCCGGACCGAAGAAATGACTGGTTTGACGGCGAATGCAAACTGTTAGTAGAGGAGAAGAATGCAGCACGGGCGAGAATGCTGCAACACCGCACGAGATTGAATGTGGAGCGATACAGACAAGCGCGGAACAGACAAAACTCGGTTTTCCGAAGGAAGAAGCGTCAGCAGGAAGATCGAGATCGCGAGGCGATGGAAAATCTGTACCGCGTAAATGACACACGGAAGTTCTACGAGAAGCTAAATAGTTCGCGCAAAGGCTACGTGCCGCAAGCCGATATGTGCAAGGACTTGGACGGTAACCTTCTCACGAACGAGTGTGAGGTGATTGAGAGGTGGAAGCAGTACTATGACGAGCACCTCAACGGTGAAGCAGCAGAAAACGAAGGTGGCACGGCAACAGACCTTGGAGCACGCGCAGAAGACGACAGGCTACCGGCCCCTGATCTTCAAGAAGTTGAGGAGGAGATCGGTCGGCTGAAGAACAACAAAGCAACTGGTGTAGATCAACTACCAAGTGAGCTATTGAAATACGGTGGTGAAGCACTGGCTAGAGCGCTGCACTGGGTAATTGCCAAGATTTGGGAGGAGGAGATATTACCGGAGGAGTGGATGGAAGGTGTCGTATGCCCAATCTACAAAAAGGGCGACAAGTTGGATTGCTGCAACTACCGCGCGATCACACTGCTGAGCACCGCCTACAAGGTACTCTCCCAAATTCTATGCCGCCGTCTGTCACCATATGCAAGAGAGTTCGTGGGGCAATACCAGGCGGGATTCATGGGTGCCCGCGCTACCACGGACCAAATTTTCGCGATTCGGCAGGTTCTGCAGAAATGCCGCGAATACAACGTGCCCACACATCATTTGTTCATCGATTTCAAATCCGCATACGACACAATCGATCGAGATCAGCTATGGCAGATTATGCACGAGTACGGATTTCCGGATAAACTGACGCGATTGGTCAAGGCGACGATGGATCGAGTGACGTGCGTTGTTCGAGTATCGGGGACACTCTCGAGTCCCTTTGAATCTCGAAGGGGGTTACGGCAGGGTGATGGACTTTCGTGTCTGCTGTTCAACATCGCGTTAGAAGGTGTGATCAGAAGAGCTGGGATAGACACGAGTGGCACGATATTCAGGAAGTCCATCCAGCTCCTTGGTTTCACCGATGACATTGACATTATGGCACGGAACTTTGAGATGATGGCGGAAACGTACATCAGACTGAAGGCTGAAGCTAGACGGATTGGACTTGCCATCAACGCATCAAAGACAAAATATATGAAAGCAAGAGGTTCTAGGGAAGACAATGTTAGCCTCCCACCCCGAGTTCAGATTGACGGTGACGAAATCGAGGTGGTCGATGAGTTCGTGTATTTGGGCTCACTGGTGACCGCCGAAAATGATACCAGCAGAGAAATTCAAAGACGCATTATGGCAGGGAATCGTGCCTACTTTGGACTCCGGAGGACGCTCCGGTCGAATAAAATTCGCCGCCGCACGAAGTTGACTGTCTACAAGACGCTGATTAGACCGGTGGTCCTTTACGGCCACGAGACCTGGACTATGCTCGTGGAGGACCAACGCGCCCTTGGTGTTTTCGAACGGAAGGTGTTGCGTACCATCTACGGTGGAGTGCAGATGGATGACGGAACGTGGAGGAGGCGAATGAACCACGAATTGCACCAGCTGCTGGGAGAACCATCCATCGTCCACATTGCAAAAATTGGGCGACTACGGTGGGCTGGGCACGTCGTAAGAATGCCGCACGACGACCCAGTGAAAATGGTTCTAGAAAGCGACCCAACAGGAACAAGAAGAAGAGGCGCGCAGCGGGCAAGGTGGATCGACCAAGTAGAAGGCGACCTGCGGACCCTTCGCAGACTACGAGGCTGGCGAACTGTGGCCATGGATCGAGTAGAGTGGAGACGACTTCTTCGGACAGCAGAGGACAACAAGGCCTTAGCCTGATTGGTAAGGTAAGTAAGGACACTCTCGAGTCCCTTTGAATCTCGAAGGGGGTTACGGCCAGGTGATGGACTTTCGTGTCTGCTGTTCAACATCGCGTTAGAAGGTGTGATCAGAAGAGCTGGGATAGACACAAGTGGCACGATATTCAGGAAGTCCATCCAGCTCCTTGGCTTCCCCGATGACATTGACATTATGGCACGGAACTTTGAGATGATGGCGGAAACGTACATCAGACTGAAGGCTGATGCTATTTGGATTGGACTTGCCATCAACGCATCAAAGACAAAATACATGAAAGGAAGAGGTTCTAGGGAAGACAATGTTAGCCTCCAACCCCGAGTTCAGATTGATGGTGACGAAATCGAGGTGGTCGATGAGTTCGTGTATTTGGGCTCACTGGTGACCGCCGAAAATGATACCAGCAGAGAAATTCAAAGACGCATTATGTCGTGCCTACTTTGGACTCCGGAGGACGCTCCGGTCGAATAAAATTCGCCGCCGCACGAAGTTGACTGTCTACAAGACGCTGATTAGACCGGTGGTCCTCTACGCCCACGAGACCTCGACTATGCTCGTGGAGGACCAACGCGCCCTTGGTGTTTTCGAACGGAAGGTGTTGCGTACCATCTACGGTAGAGTGCAGATGGATGACGGAACGTGGAGGAGGCGAATGAACCACGAATTGCACCAGCTGCTGGGAGAACCATCCATCGTCCACATTGCAAAAATTGGGCGACTACGGTGGGCTGGGCACGTCGTAAGAATGCCGCACGACGACCCAGTGAAAATGGTTCTAGAAAGCGACCCAACAGGAACAAGAAGAAAAGGCGCGCAGCGGGCAAGGTGGATCGACCAAGTAGAAGGTGACCTGCGGACCCTTCGCAGACTACGAGGCTGGCGAACTGTGGCCATGGATCGAGTAGAGTGGAGACGACTTCTTCGGACAGCAGAGGACAACAAGGCCTTAGCCTGACTGATGCTGATGATGATATATAACAGTTTCTTGTTGTGTTTGTCGTATTGGATTCTAGATAAAAGTTTTTTTTTTATCGATCTATGTGCTGAAAATACCTGAGCATGGTTATACATGGCCGTGGAGGTACAAAGAGGTACAATGTTACTTGGGACCTAATGCAATGCTCAGCCTTTGGAGACGAACCAGCCCAGGGCTGAAAGTCTCCCTAATAAAGATGAAAAAAAAAATCAGCTTGAATTGATGCTCAGCTTGCAAAATCTGGAGTTAATTGCTTCAGTTTCTTAATACCGTTGGTACTTGTTTGTCCCAAAACTACTCGACCATATATATTTTTTTTTTGTCACTTTAACACTCTTGGGTCATTCGTGACTTAACCATATTATTAATATTGTCAGCAAATCGAATCCCATACACCTACCTTTTCTCGTGGTCGAAGAAATCGGTTGGCGTTTCCCCGGTAGACGACCGCCGGGACCGTCGTTTGCCCTTGAGCGCACTGGGAGTGTGGATTTCCCGAGCCAGACTCTCCGGCGACCGTTCGTCAAAGTCGGCCAGCTCACCGGGAATGAATTCGTCACTATTGCTGAGGGCACCAAGCGAGAAGCAGTTGCCGCGTCTGGGCGTTGTCGAGCGGACCTTGCGGGCGAGCAAGTCCGCATTGGTGTGGTTGGCCAGTTCCGGTCGCAACGTGGGAGACCTCTCGTCCGTATCAGTGGAAGAGCTGGACTGGTTGCCCAGATAGGGGGTGGACGGTTTGGCGAGGAAGGGCGGTGGTGGTGGCATCAGGCGAGCATCCTGGGTGACCTCGATGAACGCAATGGGTTTGGGAATTCCGGACGTTCCCGATGGGCACCACGTTCGGCGACGACCTTTGTCGAACTTGATGTAGGTCTGGGAGTTGATAATCTGATTCGCTCGCATCGTGATGGCATTCTGGATTTCGAGGGTTTTGATTTTGCTGTTTTTGTTCTGCTCGGATTTCAGCTCCTCCTGGAGCCGTTTTATCTCGCGTTCCAATCGCTTCATCATCGCCGTTTCCGAGAGCACCTCGTTCACCTTGGGCTTGTTTTTGATGGTTTTAGCTCGCATAGCAAAGCCCATAGTGTAGTAGCTCTCTTCCAGCGCAGCTGGAGTGATGTTACAGATCATGGTCGTTACTGCGTTGCCTCCCAGGGAAGCCTGCAGTATTCGCGTCAGCTTCGAGTCCCTGTAGTTGATGTACTTGAAATTATCAGCATTCTCGCTCAGCTTCTGGATGACGCAGCTTAGCGAGAGAAGACTTTTGTTAATGTGGGCTCCTTCCTTCAGCCGCGATCCGCTTGCTCCCGTTTGGTCTGCTCTTTCGCTTCCAGCCAGATCCACCAAATTGAGCGTACTACTTTGCACCGCATCATTCTCGGCTCCCTCCATCCGGTCGATCAAGCTCGATTCGATCGTTATACGGAAGATCGTGTGCGATCGACTGGACCGTTCATTCATATTCGTGTCGCCGATCCGCTTAATTTTGTTCCCCTCTTCCAAATACTGCATGATTTGATCCGGACAGTTCGTAATAAACTCTTTATAATTCAACGAGACATCTCCACACGTTGTTTCAAATATCTTCAAGATTGAATTGCTCTTATCAAGCAGATCGTAAATCTTCTCGTTGTAGATTTCGATGTAACCAACCCGGATCAGGAACTGACGGTCTTTGTTGTTTTCAATTCCCTTAAAAATCTCCCTTGCCGCCAAAGGAACAACGCCCAGCTCATCATCGTTACCCATCATCGTGTAGGTCTTACCGGACGAAGTCTGTCCGTAGGCAAAGATCGACCCGTTGATTCCATTTAACGTCGACAGCACGATGGGACGACACACCTTCTCGAACAGCTCTCGCGTTGGCACCGTTTCGTCAAAGATGTGATCTACGAACAGCGACAGAAAACAACCCAAAAATAGTTTTAATATTCCATAAATAGAAAATGTATATATCGTCTCTTCATAGGTGGGTAGCTAGTTACTTACCGAAAACAAACGGTTCCCCATTTCCCTCGACCGTGCTGATCGTGTTGTCCCGGATCCGCCATTGTGAAGTTTGCTTGTTGTCCTTTTCCCTTTTGATCAAAGGGCGGACCTTGCACGACACCGTTATGTTATCGTTCATTGCCCTGGTCCCTTTCCCAACACCCAGAAATTCTCGCTTGGTAATGAATAACTACTAAAAATCACTTCCTTCCACACTTGCTAACTGGTTCTAGATTGGATAATTCTTCGTTTTATCAAGAATTACTCCTTTTCAACACAACGCACAATCACCTGTTCGAACAATACGAATATGCCTTTGTTGTCTCATGCAAACTGAACACTACTTCTGATGCACCGTTTTCCGCCGGTAACGCACATTTTTCGCACTTCTATCCTAGCGAAACCGTCGCGACGCATTTGAATTTCGATCTCCACACATCAGCCGACAAACGTTTACGAACAATATAACAAACGTACGGAAACTACGACGAAAATAATGCGATTTTTGGTATTTTAATAATATTTTCACTGAAAAAAAAAACTCGCGACGAAACATGAAAAACAATAACCTCCGCCTAGTTTGTGTGATATTTTTAAACTGAGCAACTGAAAAACGTTCAGTTCGCGCGACAGTTTTTTTTATCGGCGAAGATGATGCATAAAAGCGAAAGGGAAAGAACTTTTTGAATGCGCAAAAGCAACCGCGGGATGGTGACGGATAAACGGTCAGTGGGAAATATTCCAGTGGGGAGCTTGGGAAATATTTCAGCTTCGTTAACAAGAAATCCGACACTCTGCTAAATGAGTCCCTTGTTTCTTTTCACTTTATTCCTTCAAGCGTAATTTCCTAAATCTTGTTCGGTAATTTGCTGGATTACTGGATTTGTTCGGAAAAATATCATTTTTACCGGATGCCATGTATTATTTTACCATTTTAACTACTGAATTTCCGTAATCACGCAGAAAAATCTATCATGGAATTAAAATATTTCAGGTAAATTCGAGGGTAAATTTATATGTAAATTCACTTTGACTATATGTTTTAGTATTACTTCTACCCCGTAACGTGGGTAGATCACCTTTTTGTGGTACGTTACGGGATGTAAGATCTACCACCGATTCCTAGTCCTAACTCCTTCAAACTAGGGGAACAGGATTTTTCAGTAATCAAAGGAACACATCTTAGTCCTTGTTACTTTTTATGCCTTGTTGATAGTGATAAGTCCTCGGGTTGCCTGGACCGAGGATGATCTTGAAACAAGGAAAACATGAGTTAGTTAGTCTTCACCTAGGGGAATTTACGTATTCTCGTCAATCTAAGCAGCGTCCGAACTTCTATTAGCGATTTCTCAGCGTCACACACATACATGACAGGTTTGTTTGTTGACATTTATCTGCTGCTTGCTGTGCTACCAATTCCAATCTACAGAATTGATCAAAACGGGTTGAACATGTTTTTACAACGCTCCAAACTTCTCAATTGAGAGTGACTATTGTCGGCAGTCTCTTTTTCTTCGGCACCCTTTCCATTTGAAATGCGTGTTAACCAGCTGTTCTATTATCGGCAACTCGAAATCAGCCGTATTTTGTAGTATGTATATTTCATTTAAAGAAAAATATGGTATAACAGGAATTCACAGTCGTAAAAATGTAATCAGATTGAAACTGAAAAGGTAAGGAATCGGCTTAATACATTCAGCGAAGAGTTTTGATGGGAAAATACAGTGAAATAAACGTTTCAATTTCGGTTGCCGAAAACAGTCAATGGGTGCCGAAGCCATAATTTACCCTATGTGATTCCTAATCTTCTAATCGTTGTTCCCTAGTTTGAAGTGGTTAAGACTAGGGTTCTGATGCATGGTCATTATCGGTGTCATAGCTTGTTTTTGTTGTGAAGGAATCCAATTTTGACTGACAAAGGGGCGCGCCTTTGGAGGGTGTTCCAACTCCGAAGGGTATAAATAGCGGAACCTTTCAGTTAGAATCGATTCCTTGCGATGAAGGCAAGAATGACAACTGTATCAAAACCGAATACTTCATCATTTCTCAATAGATCAAATTACTGGTCGCAGTGGTGTTATGTCCCGAACAGAGGAAAAACAAATTACTTCTACCACAGAGAACAGACGTTCAAGTTCGGTCAGAAACTTGTGTAAAATAAGTGGGAACGTCGCCGTTACGTGGTGTTAGCATCTCCTGATTTTCTCCATAAATTTTCCACTTTCGACCAATTTGGCGCTAGTATCGATAAATTTTGAAAATTGCCACTTGGCGCTACATCATGTTGTCAAAGAGGGTTTTTAAGGTTCAATTGGCATCTTGCAGTGAACCTTTTCCAAGCTTTCGCCACCTACATTTCGAAGTGAGAACTACTAGAAGGAGGATAGTTTCCAAATTTTCCAAGTAAAACAGACGCTTTTTGGGGCAAATCGGTCCATAAAGAAAAACTAATAATTTCCCGTGGAAACTTTTGCTTGAATCGTGTAAGAAAACGTGTTTGAAAACTATTTGTTATTATTTCGGTATGGATCGGAGATGTTTTCATGACAAATTATGCATAACAAGTTTGCACCCACAGGGAGAGGTTACCTCCTGCGCAGCTGCATTTTTCAGAAAATGGTAAATATGTGTGATTTTCACTAATATGAAAGTGGAAATTAAGTGAATTTACTTAGGAAAGGTTGTATCATGCTGGTGGTAATAGAGAATTGGTTGTATAGGACGCCAATATTCAATAAATGTTCATTTTGGCCTTTTTTAAGCAAACATATTGATACTCACAATTTTCGACGGAAAACGCACCGGAACTTGATTTACTCAACACGCACCATGCTATAAAATGGTGCTAGATGGTCTTCAAAGTGATAACAAGATGACAAATACTCTTTATTTTGATTAATTGAGCAATTTACTTCTGTTTACCATCATATTTACGATGCAGCATTGATGGAGCCGTGAAATGAAATGAATATATCTTGAAAAGTTCACCTAGAAAAGTCAAAGATGCGCATCAGTCTGATCGTAAAAACGTTTTCTTCTTCAATTCGAATGTTATATTGGAAGGATTTCACGCAGGCTTGATGAAAATTATGATTTAATGCTAATTTTCACGAATTTTATATACAGTCTGTCAACATTATCATCATCATGCAGTGGCGACATCTGCGTTGAGCTTTTGCGGCAATGTTCCAATTTACTTTGATGCTTTTTGGAAAATTTCAAAAGCAGTTTTTTTCCGACGCGATATTTCAGATTGCAAAAAGCTCGCACTATTCGATTCCTTTTGATTTTTTACACAAAATGACGCGAGCTTTTTGCAATCTAAAATAATGCGTCGAAAAAAACTGCTCTTGAAATTTTAAAAAATGCAACAAAGTAAATTGAACCTTAAGTGGGGAAGTCGCCGTTAGTGGCGCTTAAGCCGAATAGGAATCTTTACACAAGTTTTTAGAGAAATTTTGTTCGAGCCTCCATGTCTGTTCTCTGTGTTTTAATTGAAACTATAATAATCAATTAAAACACTAATTAACTCTTGTACTGTAACGTTACCAGGGCATTTGTTTTACATACAAATAAACATTGCCCACAGGGCATGCCAAAATTTCCTTCATTTGAGGCTATGTCAGTCGTGCAAGAGTTAATGATGGTAAGCTCTACCTTGTAATCGCAATGTGCTATTTTATATGATTGCGCCGAGAATTGCGCATTGGGCACATTTATGAGATTATGAATGCGGAAACACTAATAAAAGTGCGGTTTTACGTCAAATTGTTGTTGTGTCTTCAACGCACTTATTCCATAGAGGTAATACCATAGAGGTAACTCTAACACCACATTATTATTTTTGGCTCACTCAGTACCAGAACAACGGTCCCAAGCAGTCCCAAGCTATTTCACTCACCCCTGCATGTTCTGCATGAATCCACACACCCCTGATGTTATCTGTCAAACTTTCATAGCGAATCAAAACAAACATAGTGTAGTAATAGAATTTCAACTAGAATAGGGTACGTTAATCGTTTGCTTGGGACCAATAGGCTACTAAAGTGGTGAGCCAATTTAAAATCGTTAGTTTCGTATTGATTGTTGGTACAATCATAGAGGTAAATCTAAGACCAGAAGGTCCCGAAGAAACGAGCTCAACTTTTTGGCTCAGCTCTGGTACTCTCTTCGGTCCCAAGCTAATCGATTCACCCCTCGAAACATAGGAAAAACCAATAACCCCTCATTTTGTCTGTCAAACTTTCATAGTGAATCAAAACAAACATTGCGTAGTACTAGAATTTCGACAAGAATAGGGTACGTTAATCGTTTGCTTGGGACCAATAGGCTACTAAAATGGTGAGCCAATTTAAAATCGTTAGTTTCGTATTGAGCACCGCCACGGGTGACGTCACCGCCACGGGTGCCCTGGTGACGTTACAGTGCAAGAGTTAATTAGTGTTTTAATTGATTATTATCGTTTCAATTGAAACACAGAGAACAGACATGGATGCTCGAACAAAATTTCTCTAAAAACTGGTGTAAAGATTCCTATTCGGCTTAAGTGCCACTAACGGCGACTTCCGCACTTAAAAACCCTCTTTGACAACATGATGGCGCTGGCGTTGCATAAATTACACTAGACACTAAGTGCTAGTAGCGCCAAGTGGAAATTTTCAACAGAAAATTTATCGATACTAGCGCCAAATTGGTCGAAAGTGGAAAATTTATGGAGAAAAACAGGAGATGCTAACACCACGTAACGGCGACGTTCCCACTTATTTTACACAAGTTTCTGACCGAACTTGAACGTCTGTTCTCTGTGGTCTAAGTGCACTTTTATTAGCGTCTCCACTCTTCTAAAGAGTTCAATTTTATTTGCAATTGAATATGTCACAAAACTATGCATAGGAGGCATCACTGCACTGCAACACAGAGAACAGACGTTCAAGCTCGGTCAGAAACTTGTGTAAAATAAGTGGGAACGTCGCCGTTACGTGGTGTTAGCATCTCCTGATTGTCTCTATAAATTTTCCACTTTCGACCAATTTGACGCTAGTATTGATACATTTTCTGTTGAAAATTGCCACTTGGCGCTACTAGAACTTAGTGTCTAGTGTAATTTGTGCAACGCCAGCGCCATCATGTTGTCAAAGAGGGTTTTTAAGTGGGGAAGTCGCCGTTAGTGGCGCTTAAGTCGAATAGGAATCTTTACACAAGTTTTTAGTGAAATTTTGTTCGAGCCTCCATGTCTGTTCTCTGTGGTTTCACTCGAGGGGGGCGACACATCTAAATCTCAATTCTAGATGCTCAAAAATTCTTATACTAGCGAATCAATCTTCGAAAAATCATCTTTCATTTTTCCCATCTACTTGCATCGTGCTTCATCTTTTTACAGGAAATCTTCAAAATCGACATAAATCTTCCTTCTATCTACTCAGCGTGCGTGCAGCTAGCCACAGTAAAACACAATCTTTTCTGCATCGTAGATAGTCGTCCCCCTCGGTTTCACTGCAAGACGCCAATTCTCTTCAACGATTTTCTCTTTGCATTGCTACAGCTAAGCGTGAAACAATTTTCTAGAATTTTTGTTCAATGCAGAGTTGTAACAGGTTGTATTGGCTATCAAAAACAACAGCAAACGCACAGAGAAACGTTAAATCTAGCGAGTTATTAACAAAAGAGAAAATCGACTAAGAGAATCGATCATCGCGTATACGCCCTTATGCATGCTCACTGTCGAATATACATTGCAAGCCATAAAGGGATCCATTCAAATATTACGTAACGCAGAGAGGGGTTGCTCAGTTTTTGCTACAAATTGTTATAATATTCTTACGCGTAACAATGATAAACACTTAATAAAATAGTTATTTGAATAATTAAGCTCATTAACTAAAGATCAGTTGACATGTTGAAAATACTGTTTAAAGCAGGCGCAGTGTTTTATTTTTAATTGCGAAAATGGCATTTTTTGCGTTACGTAATAGTTGAACGGGGTCAAAGAATAGAATCCCTTAAGTGTGAATTTGGTTTAAAAGTTAGATTAAAAATATGCTATTGCACACAGCACCAAGGAGACGTTGAAGATTTTCTTTATCTAAAAAATATGTCATAAATGTCAATAATTCTTTTCATACTGATAAATTATCAGTGAAAATAACCATCAAAGGATTTGTATTTTTAATACCATCAGGATTGACTGCATCGCATTAGTGAACATATTTTTTTCCATCGTTAAAATTTTCTCTCACATTAAATTTATATGTTATCTCAATCACAAGACCCATCGGCCGGTCCATCCCTCCAGCGTTCGTTCACCTTCGAGCAGTCGAATTCGGGCTTCCCCAGTTTGACGTTCACTTTATTGTGCATCCGGCAGAGCCACTGCGACAGCGTGTACTGGGACTTGATTTCCGGTGGCGATTCCTTCAATCTGCAATGGAATATGAAGTTTGAAATCACTTTTAAAGTTACAAGCGGTGGGGTTGGGGTTCAGGGGATACTCTACTCTTGCTGGAAATCCTTCGCACAGTACTCGCATGGGTACACCTTGGAGAATGCATTGAAGAATAGGCGAACATTGCTCTGTTCTTCTGTGGTGGGATTATCCGGGAAGTAGGCAGCTATGGTGTGCAGTAGACCCCAGGTGTGCCGCCCCAGCCGTTCCTTATCCAGGGGGCAGTGCTTTGGGGGATCACTCGGTTTCGGTTCGGCAGCAGGAGGTTTGTGGGTGGTTGTCAGTTCCGACGAGGGTGGTTTCGCACTTGTGGATAGAGCTTGGCGTTGTTGTTTTGACCAGGATTTGAAGTCCGTACACGTCCGGCATGGTGCCGATTCTTTCGTGAGTCCCGGTTGGTGTCCCTCAGCTGCAGGCATGCTGATAAATTTGGAAAATTTTGACTAATTTCGCGGACAGTAAAAGCCGGGCGTGCGGAATGTTTGGGTCACAACAAAGAAACACCGATTGGGACCGGGATGGGTGATGTAATTTGCAACAGCTGTGATGAAATGTTTCACTGTTTACCTGGCGAGGGGTGATGCGGGGCGTTAAGACATTGTTCTGCTATACCGACGGGGGTGACAGCGCTGTCAGCTCTGGGTTCTTTTTTCCTCGCAAGTTAGAAAAATCGTAGCAAGCAGCCATCTTAGCTCGTCCAGGTCACAGTCGTAAGAGCAGTGTGTGTCAAGTGCGTGCGAAAAATTTTCAATTCGTATCCCGAATCAGGTAATTTTGCAATTTTCCACCCCGGAGCGGATGCCAGACATCCCTCGCAATGTTCTCCGCTGTAAGAAAATGCATTTTTTACGTCGAACGATAGGTTTTTCATGGGTAACGGGGAAATGGGAGCGTTTCACGCGAGATGGAAAAAAGAGGGTAGAAAAGGGATGATGGGATTCTACTCGGGCTGGGCCGTGTGCGAACGAAGAAAATTGGTTGGGGCTGCTGAAGCCGAAAATTATGTAATGTCTGGAAGTTGTTCTCATAGAGATGTGAGTTTTGCCTTTCGGTTGCCAACTGTCCGGCTCCACCGGAAGCGGCAACCTTTTCGGAAGGAAAAACTTGCACGGAACATCAAGAGACTTTTCCATCGAATCACACTCCATTTCTTTGTTGTTATATAAGCGTTTCGCCTTTCGGTCGTCTGTCACTTGCTAACGCAACGAAAAGAGTATCCTTTCCCGCAAATGTTTATTTGATACCAAAGAAAAGGGAGTGTTCCAGCACGAGAGTTGTTCCAGGACTGGAGCCGTTCAGAAAATGGACTGTCTCTCTCCACTCTACCGAGGATTACCAAGAACCCCTTCAAAATGGCTTTTTGCCGAAAAACAAAAATCGGGCTTTAAAACAAACACATTTCCAGAAAAAAAAGCTTAATCTGGGAATGCATATAACCACAAGCCAAAACCAAACGAAAGTAATTATATTCCGCGTAAGTTTCGCATAATTCGAAGAAAAATTCACGTTGGAGTGCACATTTTTTCAGGATCGAAAATACCGAGATCTAAACAGAGACAGAGACTCACACAGAAAACTCAGATTCAGTCAAGCGCTCGCAAGAAGCCAGCGGAGTGGAGTGCAGCCGGCGAGGAACCTGATTGCTACTACTGCTGCTGTTGCTGTTGCTGTTGCCTGTATTATCACGGAAGTTGCGAGAAGGTTCGGATCCGGATTGAGCGCAGAAGAACGCAGGAGAACCGTCCCACTCAGAGTAATGTACCATTTTATGCTTATTTTCATATATATACTCTCATCACTGCTACTACACACTGTTCTAGCGAAAGTTTCCTATTTGTTGTTGTTTTACAGTTACACTTTTCTACTCTTTGGTTTACTATTCGTGTGTGTCGGTTTCACAGTTTGATCCTACGGTGCTGGGAATGATTTTTGGAAAATATTTATCTTTTTGCCTAGGACGTTACATGCCATGCCAGTCGATGGCTCTCTGGATTCATAGCAGTGTTCTGTGCGAAAAGAAAGTTTGGGCAGTTTAGGGGGGGTTTTTCAGGAAGTGAATGAGTTTCGGTATTAGCTAGGAGAAACATTTGATCGGTTTGGTTAGTTTGTGGAGGTTTTCATTTCCTTTTGTCTTTTCTTATGCCAATCTACGGCTTGATACGATCGAAGATTTGATCGGTGAACGAACAATAACTGCATTATAGTAATACGATCGTCTCATCATATCTAATCAAAATGGGGAAATACTATCTAATAGCAACAAAATAGTTTATTGGACACCAAAGTAGCTTTCGAGAAAATGAAAAATGCAGACGAGGGTCACGAGACACTATTCTTCAATATTCTAGGAACAGTTTGGAGTAACCAGGCGATTATATAGCTCAGAAGCGCTGTGAATGTTTCAAGAGCCAGTTCTAAGTACTAAAGGCTTTCAAAAGTGCACACACATGAAGACTTCCAGGGGAAATGTGAATTTTCAGATGAAATATAAATAATTTTAATATGAAGTTCACTGCCCATAAAAGCTTATCAGTTCCATCTGGAAAAAAAACAGCAAGCTGAGAAAAACGCTGTTGAAAATTCGTAGGTGTTCGTAGGCTCTGGATGCGACAACCTAATTTTTCACGATATTTCCTGAACAAAGCATGTAACTTTTAGTGCTCAGTGTAAAATTCCGTTAGTTTACAAGTTATTATAAGAATTAGAAATCACCAGCAAAAACCGGGAAAAGCCCGTGAATTTTGATTTTCAGGATACAGTCACTTTGAAGAACTATTAAGATTTTAGAATAAATTCTAGGGATAACAAGAAGGTATTTCAGCGAAAAATTCCAAGGAAGTTTTGGGAAGAACTCTTAAAAAGTTTTGATTAGAATTCCAAGTTAATAATTGTGTGAGTTCAGAGTACATGTTTTGGGTAGTTCATGTTGATTGTGAAGAGGATTCCAGGACCATTTCTAATGAATATTCTAAATAAGTTTTGAGAAGAAGTTTTACAGAGTTCTAATGAAATTTCCAAGGCAATTTCGAGAGTAATGAATCCTGAGTAGTGTTTCCATTTCCCGGCCTTTTTTGACCACCCGGGAATCAAGAAACAGCAGATGGCTCTTCCCGGGAATCTAGAAATAATTATATCGACTAACAAATATGTGCAACATTTGAAAAGGGCCTATCCTCGTTGATCGATTTTCTTCATCGATTGTCTCTTTCGCGAATAACCCGCGAATTTGGTGGTTTGCGTTGGTGGACTTCGGTTCGTGACAAAAAGGTTTTACAAGGTTTGTTTACATAACGGATGGCCTTTTCAATTGTTGGGCTTGAATTTCTGTTGAACGATACATAAAGAGTTCTGGCTTCCCAAAAGGTTTTCTTCCCTCTTCCTTTCTTAAACGTTTTTTTTGTGACATTGTCCGGAAGTTTCATCTGTTTTCCCGGTATTTTCGTCCGACTTCCTCCGGATGTACTTTTTACAGTAATTTCTTCAGATGTTCTTCTGGTTCCTCCTGGAAAGTACTTCCGACCTCATACCAAAGCTTATCTTGCTAGTTTATTTGAGCTTCTTCCGATATTTTCAATCGATTTCCCCTGGAAGATTCTTCCGACATCGCCCAGAATTCTGTTTTGTATCGCCTGGGAGTATCGGTCTACGGATTTCTTTCGGAAGATTCTTCCGGCTTATTCAAGGGATATTCAAGAATTTTTTTTTCTTCGGCTAACTGCGACTTAACTCTTTGGTTTACGTTGGATGTTTTTCTCCTGAAGCTTTTTCTGGTCTATTCCAGGAGAACCCTGTTTGCTTCTTCCTCAGTAAGCTTTTACAACTTCAAGAAGCGTATTTTTTCGAAATCTCGTAGATTTAGTTTTCGAATTCATCTAGAAGTTCTTCAAACTTCCTCGAAAATGTTTTAAACTAGAACTGAAAACTTCCCTGGAAGTTGTAATTGACTAATTCCGGAAATTTCCTTCCACTTCCCTCAGAAGATTTTTGATACTTCACCTGGAACTGTCTTCAAAATACTTTGACTGTGACTTTTAACGCACGCACACTAGCCTGTGCTGCGCCGTGTAAAGTTGTTTATTATTTTCCCCTCACTTACCTAAAACATGTAGGGGAAATGGATGTAATATCGGCCTAAATGCCCCTAATTAGGCCATAGCCCATATATAAATTCAGCAATCGACTAAGATTCGAGCGACCAAAAATATCTATTAACTCTTCGACTACCACACTGAAAATGAAGTCGACACTTTTTTTCAAAATAATGTATCTCGGGTTCTACTCATCCTTTTTTAAATGTTTTTTTACCGTTTTAAAGGTTATTTTTTCAACTTTTTTGTGAACTAGCTGATAAGGCTACACGGTCATGTAAAACACCGCAAATTTCGGGTTAATTTCTGTCGAATTGGTAGACAAGCCGTTTCTGAAAGTTAAAATGAATTGATTTGGGGTTTCGTATTTTTGCCTGAAAGCTTATAAAATTATCTAATAGAATGTACCACTTACAAATTTTTAACTGTACTACTGACCGAGTTCTGGACTTTGAAAGATAACCGATGCAAACCTCAAAATGACATTTGTTTTCGTGAGATAATCATGGTTTTTTTTCTTTGGATTTGTTTTACGTCGATCTTGTTTTCCGTGCTGAGCACCAATGCTACCGACGCCGCCAGGGAGGCAGCTCTCACACCTGGACCTTCCTTATCGACCCATCAACTCATGAACCGGGGACCAACGACATTACTTCCCGTGATCAGAAATGTTATGCCTCAGAACATCCCGGCAGCGCCGACTGGGATTGAACCCAGGCCTGCTGGGGTGAGAGGCAATCACGCTTACCACTGCACCACCGGCGCCGCTAGATAATCATGGTGAGCGACAAATTATCTCCCTACTGCTTGATAAAATATAGCTTTTGCATCACATTTGAAGTCAGTTTTCCACCAATTGACCACATTCATAATGTTTGAGGATGTTCTGGAAGAAAGTACGTGCCCTTACAGTGGGTTTAATAAGCAGATTGTTTTTATTTCAGTCAACCTACTTAGGTTGATTTTATTTCAATTAACTCTGAGTCACTATTACACATGACACTATCCTTCGTAAATTGAAGAAACTTTGTTGCTCATCGTCCAGCGAGCGCAGAATAGTGAGAGAAAATGGAGCCGCAAAGCAAGGCGAAAACCAATCTGTGTACATAATCAAGGCACCGTCGATTTTTTAAAAATAAATATGCAATCTGCAATATTATAACACATGAGATTGAACAAAAATATGTGTCTTACGTTATGGTTAACTTGCTGGAGATGATTGTCCCTTTAATAGTTCCATAGGCCATCTTCTGCTCGATCAGTTACCCAAAAAAAAGTAAACATGGAGCTTCCTATTCGATATTTTTATTGGCTTCTTGGTAAAAATACTGTGGAATTAAGCCATCATTTCTAAATTATTTAAAAATCATCGAACATTATTATGGTTTAAATTATCGAATTTATTGCGTGAGTGCGCGTGTGAGTGAATTCCAAAAAATGCCGACTTAATTTCTGGTTAGTGGCTCGGAGGTATATACAATATTTTGGTGCCCGTTCTCAAAGTCCTCTCATCCACAACATTTTTACTCTAATTTGGGAGGGTGCTGCATGAAAATTATATTTGCTTAGAATATTTTTAAAGGAGACAGAAAAATGTATTGTTAGTCAAACTTTTTCCTGCAAAAGTGCCCATGCAAGCCGTCCATATTGTAACTTTGTAAGTAATTAAATTGACTTCCC